AAAAAAAAAAAAAGCTATCGCATCCACTGCACGCATTTTTATAGAAGATGCACGTTACGCACGTCATTGCGACCGATTCCCTCTCGGAGTGAAACTGTGCGTGCTTATTTGTGCATCTGTAGAAGATGTTAAGATCGGCCTCCCTGGCTGGGCGCCGCTTGGACGCGGGGGACGATTGCAGCTAAGCCTACCCCGATTTGTTCCGGATCAACGCTCTCGAGGTGCGCCAAAAGCAGCGACAACACGAAAGTCATACTTCGAATTCTTTAGGGCTGTTGGCTCCCCTCGTCAAAAACTCTTTGGACACGTCTGAACTGACTGATGGCCAAGGAAGAGCTGTTTGAAGTCGAGGCTGCTTGTTTTGTTCGACGTGCCAAGAGACGCGCTGAACAATTAGCCGAGAGCTTGGGATTCCTCGTCAGGCATGTTTCCCACACTCTGTGGTGCTTGCAAGTCTTCCATTCTCATAAGCCCTAGCCTGCCTAGCGCTGCAGACCCTATTCTGCACGAGCGATGCAATGTCATTGCGCTGTGCTGTGTTGTGCATATTATTGCACTCTGACCTACGTTGTGTTTCTCTCTCGCCGTGTGACGAACTGAACGTGCATCCTCTCTCTTTCCTGGGTTGAAAAGAAGGTAGTGTTTGACTTTCTCTCTCTTTCTCCCTCTCTCTCGTCTTTTTTATTCTTATTCGCTGCACCCTGCGCTCTCTGCTGGGCTTCAGAAATTAGGCGCCTTCTTCTACCCCCCCCCCCCCCCCCCTATTTGGTGGACGGAGATGAAGACGACAATTTCTTTGGACTGCCCTGAACTGAACGGGCATGCAGTCTGTCGGTTTACAGGGATCTGCAAGGCGGCTTTTCTGTAAGGTTTGTTTTCCAACCAAAACTCTCGTTCTAAGACTGCTTTTCTTTCTCATTTTGAGCATGCGAGTACAACGAAATGTCTCCTCTACGAATTCCAGCTAAGGTACGCGAGCACAACAAGATCTCAAAAAGGGGAATGGCAAAAACAAAATGAGCGACAAAAGCAGTCTGTGAACGAGAGTTCTTGTTTGAAAGACTAACCTTACAGAAAAGCTCCCTTGCAGATTACTGCAAACTGTTCAATGTTTTTTCCTGCAGAGAATTTTAGGAAGACCAAGGCTGAGCTCCGAGGCGCTCTGAACCAGCTCTCAGAAGCTCCCATCAAGCTTCCATGATGCTACCATCAACATATAGTATTACGCTACCTTTAGTGTGTAAATAATGTATATAAACGTTCCTGTTATCAGCCCCGGCTACTCTGCTCGAATTCTACCCGAGAGTTGGCTAGCTGCTTCGAATACATCATGAGCAAGCAAAAGGGCACGGAGCTGTACAGGCGAAAATGTGCGACATCACATCGCTTTTATTACGTGACATATTCGTTCTCCGCTGCATTCGCCCGCTCGAGTCCGCAGATAACGTTCCAGTTTTTATAGCGACGACACACCGTTGATTGCGATCACGTCATCAAATATCAATTAAACAGCAGTTTCATTATTTATTTGCAAATTACTTCACCATAATGTATGGCGAAGTAACTTATTACTTGGCAACCTGAGGAGCTTTCTAACTTGACTAACTTTTTTATGAAGACCTGAATATAAAGTTAAGATTTATTTGGTTAATTCTGAGCATTACCTTCGCAACAGAAGTACATTACCACTGTCCACAACAATTATTATTCATCTTTCACAGTGCCAGTAGGTCCGTTCAAGTTACGTGATGAAAACATGTTTGCTGGACTCCGTCATATATGACATGTCGCTCAAGTGTCTGTCTCCGAATTATTGACGAATCCAGCCGTCTTTTGTAAACTTTTTGCTGGCAAGTTTTTTTAAATTTTATTTTGTTTCTGTTTAAAACTGGTTGCCTCAGACAAGCTTATTACGCCTTTGCTCACCATCTATATAGCGTTGTTACACGCGGCGCCTGGGCCGACGGGTGAGAGAGAGAGAGAAACAACATTTTTTGTGCATCCGGCGTGCGGGAAGTCCGCGCAGGCGGCGTTCTTTTTTCGTCAAACAAGTCACCGAAGGGTTGCCAGCCTGCGGTCCACCGTGTTTTGTCCATCTTAGCCGGGAAGTGAGGTGGCATTCCGACACCATAAGACGTTCGACGTGACAACCACAGAGGTTTCTTGGTGTCACAGGTGCAGTGTGGTGGCCACGCCCCAATCAAAGATCTTGACTTGAGCGAGTGTGAGCGGCACCGTCAGAAATGGTGTGTGTCTCGTGATTCAACAGCGCATTCTGGACCCATTCCCTGATTAAGTCAAAACGCACACTTTATAGTGAGCCACCCAGCTCATTCGCAAGAGATCTCTCGCCCTGTCTGTACAGAATGTAATAAATCCTGTGTTAAGTTTGCCATCATACTCCTGAGTGCACATGCGTTTTCTTTTCTGTCTCTCTACACCCCCTTTCTTGCCCCTATTTCTCCATCCCAATGCTGGGCAGCAAACCGGATGCCAAGATCTGGTTAGTCCCTCAGCCTTCCTTTCTCTCTCTTGCCATCTTACTGCCTTGGCATCTTCATCCCAGATGTCTGACGCCTGAGTTAAAAGGCATCAGATATTTTCTGCAGCATGTTGAGACGCTGCATATGAGTGGTCATCCTCGAAAATTATCAACTTTAACACCACGGACAGGTGATGATATACCCTGAGTAGGTTCGAGCATGTATTATGCCTCGACGCTTCTAATGTTCATTAAACTTCCCCCTTTCGATTTCATCCTTCGGGGCTTTGTGTAGTTCTTCACCTAACGCGCTGCATTCGTACTGCACTGCTACCATTTCATTTCTTCTGTGTATACGCCCTGTTTCGGGCACGATGATAGGCTGCCATCTTGGACTGATTATGATGCCGTTTTGCATCCATATGAATATTCGAATAGTGCTACGGTGAACTCGCACGCATCAACACGCTGGCCCAGTACATTCAACGTTGTATGACCAAAACCATTGCTAATTACGACATAGAAAACCAGAAAAAATTGGTTGTAAGCCTAAGATGGCAGCGTCTATGCACTACTGTAACTGTTACACTTATTTTTTGTCAATTTGTCCAATATGTCATTTCATGCAGCGGCCGCCGAACTTGTGCCGCTGTTCATAGCGGTACTCTCCACGGAGGAAGTACTCTCGGTCTCTAAAGCTTGATGAAGATAACTAAGAAGCCTGTTTTTTTACTGGCTACGAAGCTATAAATCAAGATGAAAAAGAAGAAGACAAATATGTGAAAATTCAGTACTGGTGCATAAATGGCGCGCCAATTGCGCCGATGAAAAACGTCGGCGGCGGCAGCGCGCCGATCAGTTCGCGTCGGCGACGCGCCGACCAGTCGGCGCACACCTTTAGGCGTTGGCTAGGGTTATCGGGTCACTCGTCTTGATTGATATGTGGGGTTTAACGTCCCAAAACCACTATATAATTATGAGAGATGCCGTAGTGGAGGGCTCCGAAAACTTAGACCACCTTGAGTTCTTTAACGTGCACCCAAATCTGAGCACACGGGCCTACAACATTTCCGCCTCCATCGGAAATGCAGGGTCACTTGTCTTGTCTTGTCGGCTAGGATATCTTGGCTTATACCCACATGGGAGATTGGCCACACTGTACCTCATAATAGATAATTGTTTACAACGCTTGCTAAAAAAAAAGAGTAATTAGAGAGGAACAATAAAAATGTTCCCTTAAAAGAAAACGTGCAAAAGAATGCGATAAACCAGAATATTGAAACAAATTAACAAGAATGAGGAAGTGGGACAAAGAATTGGATATATCTGGCAGTACCACTAGTAGCGTATCCTTACGGTTGCCTGAATGAATTTATGTAGCGCTGGCAGAATAGCACTGCGGCCCACACCCAACTGACTGCTCCAAACGATAATAGGGTGGATGTATTGACTGGCAATCCGGGCATACCAATCGGTCTTTCAAGAATTATTCGTCGCATTGAGGCGAAGCGGCGGCATGTGAGAAGAAAGTGATCTATTGTTTCCGGTTCATTGCAAACTGCACAAAGGGTAGGTAATGAAAATCTTGATTTGTTGAGATAAAAATTTAACCGAGGAACTCTACAGCGAAAGCTTGTGAGGGTCACCTCGCATTGACGGGAAAGGTATATTGCGGTGTTCCATGTAAATTGCAAGTACCGAAATTCTTCAGATAGTAGGAGAGACGTTTCGTTGATTTTTAAGATTAACAGGCGTTTGAATCATTCGGCAGTAATAAAATGAAACTCTGGGGCTACTAGCACCACCGGGAAATTTAAAGATGCCGAAGCGAGCGAATCAGCAATTTCATTTAGCGTGCCCGGGGACCTTCTTTGCTGGTACGTAGTTCGATGAAGCAGCATTTCGTCTTTTTCGTTCTTTAGGCAAATTTTTCGATTATATTTGGGCAGGCTTGGGAATAAGGTGGGACAGCATCATCTGTTAAACTAGTCTTTTCACACTGCATTCTTCCTGTCTTTCCACAATATGCACGAATTCTCGCGTGTTGAATCTAAAAACAAAGTGAGAAGACATAATTTTCAGGTAAATAAATCTATTTATTGGAAAGCAATGGCCGAGGTGTTAAGAGCGCCACAAAGTGTTCAATATCTTCACTTGCCGATGCCTTCCACACATGCACACAAGTCTTTTCTGCCCCAAATAAATTCAAAACATTTACCATGCGTCGAAATGTTTTTTTTTTTTTTTTTTGCTGATGGCGGTATTTTCCTAGAGCACTGTGTGCGCCCTTGCGATGGTCCGCTCCCTTTTTGCTAACCTGTCTTTTCATGCCAGAGCACACAAAACAGGGAAAAATTTCCAGCGCACGATCTGTATTCCGCGTTGCACGTAGGCAAAAAAAAAAAAAAAAGATTCCGCAGCGTTTTTTTTTTTCTTCTTTGTAGAAGCCCTTTAGTATTTTAAGTATTTTAGTATTTTAAGGGCGTTTGTGTTCCACGTGGAGCGACAACAAAGTCGTCGCTCCACGTGGAACACAAACGATGCTGAGAAGCACTTGCCGTGAGTAACCAGCAGCCTTCCCCGGCATACAATGCACCTGCCGCCGTCTCCACCGCACTAGTAGCCACGCTAGCAGCAGCGCCTCCGATCGCCACGCTAAATCACGTCCTAGCAGAGATCTCGCGCACCACAGCGCCGCTCGGCAAGGGAAACACGTTTCGCTTTTCACACCTTTACCAGTGGCCACCCTACCGGGGCGCTGATGTGCGTTTCCTCGTGTGCCTTCCATCTGCCGCGCCTCCACAGTTCCGTATAGATGTTTTGGTTTTCCGCTAGCCAGAAAGAAGAAGAAGCGGAATCGCCCCTCTGGTGGACCAGCAGCCTGTTGACGGGCCCGTTGGTCGAAGCCTACGAGCAGCTTGATACGTGGTGCCTCGGCTGCGACCACTTCGAGAGGAGCGTCGCCCAGGCGCTGCTCGTCGTGTTCGCTATCAACGTCGTGCTCATCCTGTGTGTGTGGCGCCGGTGCGGCGACCAGATCGCCGACCAGTTTCTGAACCTCGGTGAGTTAACCGATTGCGGTGACAGCAGCCATGGGTCGAAGGCATCCCTCCTCAATGGAATTCGTGAGCGCAGTGCGGCTTGTCGGTGGGCGGGGTCTGTACGCAGCGCTTCGCAAGTCAAGTGTCAAGTATTTTCTTTGTGAATCAGAGCTGCTTCTTCTCCCCTTCTTATGGCTCTTACCTAATGCAAAGAAATACGAAAAGATTTCTCACTCGGGAATTAGCCGAGTGTTAGGTTAATTTTTTTTTGTGTGTTTCTTCGCATTACTTCACGTATCTTAGAAGTGTGGCAGTTTGGGCTAGTTGGTATGACATGATGATAGTTATAGCGCGACAACAGAACGACGACAAAGGGACAAGGAGACGAGCGCTCGTCTCCTTATTTAAATGTTTAAAACAATGAAGAGTATAGCTCAATATTCTTTTAGTCTGACTGATAAAGTCCTCTATGGCGTAGTAAACATCCCACTGACTGTAGCCCAGAGTCTATCCAATGAAAAGAAACGTCTCTAAAAATCAGCGAAACGTTGTCCTCGTGCTAAACATTGGAACACGCATAAACTAGTTTTAGATGAATATATTGCTGTACTTCGCAGCGCAAAAGAAAACTTTTTAAAAAACAGCCTCCCTTCCTATGCCTCTAACGGACACAAAAAAATTCTGGCGCGTCATAAATCCAAGAGACGATAACACTATAAGCCTAATTGATTAGGCAGGAAAGGTTATAGCTCCTGAAAAGTGTGCATCTGTACTTAACGATGTTTTTGCTTCCAATTTTTCATCATTGACCATTGATTTTACCATTGATCACGCAGTGTCGTAATACGTTCCCAATGCATCTGATAATTGGTCCGCATGGCAGGGAATGCCTCATCCATAAATTAAAACGTTCTTCTCCCCCTCGTTGTAACATAATTAGCCCAAAGTTTCTGAAGAGCATGAGTGTTTACAGTTCCATCATACTAACCAAAATCTTTCAAGAATCACTTGACACGGGTTCCATCCCTGCTGAATGGAAGGTGGGGAAGGTGATTCCACTTCATAAATAGGGTAACAAGCATTCTCCATTTAATTACTGACCCATTTCACTCACCAGCATTCCATGTAAACTTCTCGAGCATGTATTGTTTTCTAATCTTGCAAACTATCTCGAGTTGAACTTCTTTTTAACGCACTCTCAGCACGGATTTCTCAAATCGTATCCATGCGAAACGCAATTAACATCATTTACACACCAACTGCATGCCATTCTTGATTGCTCATCTTTTGCAGACTGCATATTTTTAGATTTTTCAAAAGCATTTGATAAAGTCCCTCATAATCTACTCATGCACGAACTACGCCATCTTAACTTAGATCCCCAACTTCTCATTTGGCTTGAATCCTTCCTGTCCTGTCGTTCTCAGTACGTTTCAGCTATCAACTCTGATTTACCCTCAAGACCCATTTACTCGGGCGTTCTACAAGGCTCTGTTCTAGGGCCTCTGTTATTCCTAATTCATAATAATGACTTACCTTCCTGTGTTTCATCTAATATTCATCTTTTCGTTGACGACTGCATAATGTTTGGAGAAATAACTTCTAACAATGATGCAACCATTCTTCAATCTGACTTTAACGCTATCAGTGCATGGTGTAACACTTGGCAGATGGAACTAAACATAACCAAATGAAAGGCAATGCGTGTTACCAGGCGTACTAACTCTTCACCTGCCTATCACATCGCTAACACCCCTCTAGGTTGTGTTTCATTCTACAAATATCTTGGGTGTCCACATTTCATCTGACCTTACCTGAAACACGCACATTGCATACCTAACAAGCAAAGCTAACAAATCACTCTGCTATCTTTGACGAAATTTTTCACGTGCACCACAATCCCTCAAAGTAACTCTTATCCGGCCTAAACTAGAATATGCAGCCTCTGTATGGGACCCCGGTCAGCATAAATAATTTCACTTAGTAGAAAAAGTTCAGAACGATTCCACACGATTCATTCCATCTAACTATAACAGGACGGCTAGCATCAGTCTAATGAAAAATAATCTAGAAGTACCGCCCCTAGCTTTACGACGTAAAATCGCGCGCCTCTCTCTCTTTCATAGGATATATCACCACCCTTTTTTACGACGCCAACTCCTTTCAGCACCGCATTACATATAAACTCGCATTGATCACCAACACAAAGTAGGCATTCCATCTTGTAGGTCTTCCTCTTTCCTTCACTCATTTGTGCCACACACAAGTGATGAGTGGAATCACCTTCCTCTAGATGTTGTCACCATCAAGGATACTAACCAATTTAAAGTAGCTGTACGTGATATATTTATCCTAGTTTTCTTTTGGACTAGGCACCGCCCTTTATAGTTATATCATGCATCTATCTTCATTGATACACCAAGCTTTGACTCTCGTTTATACTTACCATATTCTTGTATATTGATTTTTTTTTTGTGCCGCTATAATTTGTGTAACTATAGGCTTGTAATCTTTTAAAAATGTACTTGGGAATTGTTGAGTTTTCTGCATTTTTTTTCTTTTGTCTTGTGACTTTTTTTTTTTTTGAGCTTTACCTCCAATTTTCTGTATTTTCGCCCCACCCCCTCTGTAATGCCATTGGCCCTGAGGGTATTCTAAATAAATAAATGAATGATAGAACAACTGATTCGGATATTTCCAGACCCAAGTTTCAAAAATGTGGTGCTATCAATTTTCTTCTCAATTACGTGTACCGGCGACAGGATAAAAAGTAATGACTGATTGTCTCCTCCACCTTACAGAAGAGAGACGTAGGAGACGGCGCTTGACTTGCTCTATGCAAGTAAAAGTTGAGGGAGGTAACCCAGCAGCGAGATAGTTATAGCGCGAGAATAGAACGATGACAAAGAGACAAGAAGGACATGAGCGGGTCCTTCTTGTCTCATTGTCGTCGTTCTGTTCTCGCGCTATAACTATCGTCATGTCATACCAACTAGCCCAAGCTGCCACACCGGCATTGAAGTTTGGTTATGGCCACTTCCATTATTCTCGACCATGATAACTCACTGTTCCAGGGAAAGAGGAGGTGCTTATATTCTAGACACGCTGTCAAGACAGGGTCTGATAAACATGTTTTGAATGTTAGGGTGCGGAATCGTGCAATTGTAATTGGCCTGTTGATGTACTACTAGGAACCCTTTTCTCATCCCTTTCCCACTCTCGTGAAAATACAGCTAATGCGCCATTTGATCCATTCTTGTCTATTGTGGTGCATAAGCCACTTCTTTGTTGAAATTTTTCTGTCATTCTTGCTCTTATATATTCAATAGCATCGTCCCCTTCTTGCCTAACATCTTGAGGTGTAGTTTTAAGCCTCTGCTCTAGGCTTGTCTCATTTCTTAGGGAGTTTAGATGGTTCCGAAATTTGGCAGCTGCCTTTCTATCCTTTTTATGTACTTCTGCCAGCCATTGAGCTCCCTTTCTTCTAATCTTTTGATTGATCAGAAGGGATGCTTCTCTTCTACAACTTAGAAAGATATCCCATTTTCTTTCAACATCATCTGTCGGTTCACCCTGCTGCTTAGCATGTCTGTGTTCCCTAGAGGCTTCCTGGTGTTTGCTATGGCTCTGTTAACTTCCTCATCCCACCAGCTTTAGGGTTTGTGTCTTTTTGAATGATTGGCACTTACAGTGCCGCATTTTGTTTAAAAACAAACCTTGTGTCCTGGTACCCAAATTAAGTGCGGACATTGTAGGTGCTTGGGAACTAGTATTCTGAAAATATTTGGAAGCGGGGTGTCACCAGATGCAGAGAGAGAACACACAGAAAATGAGTCGGTGATAATTGCTACTACTTTATTTAAACGGGGTAACATTTGGAGAGCTAATATTATGGCCATTTATTCAGCTATAAAAGCTGGGATGAAAACCGGCAGTCGTAAAGGAAAAGACCAGTCAAGTTAATGGCAGAGTATTCCAATGCCAGCTTTTTCCCCAGTTTGCTATGCATGTGTTGCAATAACCACATTCGTTGGCACACTATTTAGATGCTCTTGGAACAGTTCATTTAAAATTCCGTGAGGTAATAATTTCGTGTGGTTCTGAAAAACATCGTGGTAGACAATGTCTGGGAATTTAGGTTGCATAGTCAAAGGTCGCACATCACTAATTTGTACATTTAGGAAATCGAGTAATGTTGGTACAAATATGATTTGTGGGGAATCTAGGCCAGTGCTCGGAGAAAAATAAATCTGAATTAAAGATGAAAATTGTATAACTATGATTAGACATTGTTTCGTAGAACCGTAAGAAAGTCTGCACCGTAAGTAGGTTGAATCAGCTTAACAGGGGTGGGGTTCTCGCTTACAGGTATAATACTGCATTTGCCATATATTTTGGAAAGCCTAGGCACAGCCGTAAAGCCTCTTGCTCTAATTGGACTAGTGGCCAAAGATAGTATGCTGGCGCACCCGAGCAGAAAGAACATAGCCAAATTCTGCAAACCAGTCGTATGTACATTTTGTAGACGATCGAAAGTGCTTTTCTTCCCATACCCGATCTGCGGCTGCTCAGCCTGCACAATACACCCGTTGCCCATGCTCCTTTTGTTGGGAATATGAGGTTGCCAGTTTAGTTGTTCATTATATATGACTCTTAGGTATATTAATGAATCAACTTGTGGAGATATCCTGCAGCTTGTAAATTGGAGAGATTTTCACCGGATCATTACCGGGAAAAACCAGCGTAGCACACTTATTGGTGTTAAGACTTAACTGCAGTCCATCCAGCCACTTCTCCATTTCACTCAAGTACGGCTGTAAAGTTTCGTAAAGGCGATGTATGTCAGCAGCCATAGCAAAAAAATGCAATGTCGTCCACAAAACACAAGTCCGAACCTCTGATTGAATAGGAATAGTACACATCACGATCTTAAATAATGCTGGTGAAAGTACTGATCCCTGGGGCACGTCTCGTGTCTGCTTGTGTTTGCAGGAAGAAAATCTATCTTTAACCAAGTAAAG